AAAAGATTTAAATCACAAAAATTTGTAGTTTGCATTAATAATGCCATTATTTATTGCCGTGACAGTAATCTCAATTCATTTTCAATTATTAAGCGGCTCTAACAAAATATTTATATTCAGGAAAACGAAACTACTCCAAAAAAAGATGGGAAACCAAGCTTAGCTGATCGTTTGCGTCAATTGGCTGATGGCACACTACCACTTGAAGATCGTGTCGATCGAATAATACCTCGTAATCGCCAGGAACGAGATAGATCCGACAGAAGTTTTGATGATTCTCGATCGGCTCGTGGAGAACCCCTGTCTTCTTTAATGGATTTGCCAAAGTTTGGTTTACCTCAAGAAAGAGGTGATTTTCCAGCTCGACCACCAGATTTTCGTAATCCGCAAGATCCGAGAGAATATCAACAGCAAAGAGACAGACAAAGTTTCGGAAGAGGTCATAGAGGATCACAGATACACGAGGAATTTATGGATGTTCCAAGGTTGCAAGGAGGAATATATCAAGAGGAATTTGATAATAGAATACATGGACAACAAAGAGTAGAAGAATTCGGAAGACTTGGATCACTCAGAGAACAAAGGTGAGCTACTATCTTGTATTAATTTTTGAATTTACAATTGAAGTAAATAAGTGTAAATTACAGAAGTAAATACAACCATCGTAATGTTTATACAATATGCGATGTAAAATGCAACATATGACATTTTTTTTTTTAATATTCATTAAGTAATGATATTTACATTTTACAAAACATAATTGTTAACAAAATTATGGTATGTTTAAAGCATTGAATTCTTGATTAATTGCTTGCCAAAGGGAGGAATTTGATAGGTCTGAAGTACGAGGAAGGAGACCACTCGATGATCGGGATCGGTTCGATTATGAAATTAGGCGAGAAGGTTTTGATCCACGGCTTCAAGATGGTTTTGACCCAAGGGGACACCTCGATCGGGGTGATTTTGAACCTAGAAGGCGAGAATTCTTTGGAATTGATCCTATTTTTGGGATGCCGCCAATAATGGGACCTAGAGGACCTAGACCTGGACATCCTGATGGGTTTGGACCGCGGCCAGCTCCCTTAGGAGCTCGTGGACCAGGTAAACAAGTTTAATAAAAAGATAATTCAGGAATTGCTAACTTTTTCACTTGTACATATTTAATGTAGACGTCAGTAATTTTTTATATATTTGCTACCGAACTTTTATATATAACAAAATTTTATTACATTCAACTTTATTATACAGGGTGGTTGGTAATTGGTGGTACAAGCGGAAAGGGGATGATTCTACACGAAAAAAGAAATAAGAGAAAAGAAATAAAAATTTTTCGTTTGAGGCTTTGTCTTCGAGAAAATCGACTTTGAATTTTCGCTCGGCACGCGTGCGGTACGTTATAACGGATCTCATTGTAGATCGTTGTCTCGATGGAAAAAATTAAAAAAGAAAATTTTTATTCTATATTTTTGACTTCTTTTTTCGCGTAGAATCACCCCCTTTCCGCTTGTACCACCAGTTACCAACCACCCTGTATAATAATCGAATGAATGAATAAATTTAAATTAACGAATAAAAGTTTAACAAGATTTTATTCTATAGGTCCATTAATGTTCCATCCACGAGGTTTGGGACCTCGTCCTCTTCGTCCTGGTATGAGGCCTTTTGGTCCTCGTGGGCCACCTTTTGATCCCCGAGAGCCGGATGCCTTTTTCAGACCACCTTTTGACGATATTCGCCCCCATGTCAGACCACCTTTCGGTCCTATGGGCCCGCCATCCATTATTCCTCCGGAGTCTGCTGCTCCCTGGAGAAATCAGGAACTTCCGCCTTCTGGTTCCTGGCCTTCCGATTCAGAGAATCACTCACAAAGGGATAATCTTAGGGACAAAAAAGGTGGTAACAAACATCCGAATAACATGGAAAGAGAAAATCGAAATAGGGGACGAAAATCTAGATGGACTAATGTTAGTCCATCTGGAGAGGAAATTGAAGAATCAAAAGAACAAGAATCAACCTCTGCGAATGTTGAAGAAAAAGAAGAACCTGCAAAGGAAGAAGAAGTAGCTGTGAAAGAAGAAGTGAAAGAAGAAATTGATATGAAGGAAGTAATCTCTAATGAACAGAAGGAAGAATTAGTAGAAACGGTTGAGACAAAAGAAGAAGAAGGCATTGAAATGAAGAAGGAGGAAGAAGAGGATTGCAGGGATTCTTAGACCAAAGTAAAGAGCGATTTTTCTCTTTAAAATTTTTTCTTACTCTGTGGAGTGGTGTGAGGGAGAATTCGTTGCTTCAATTTGGGTCGAATTGAAACAGTCAATATTAGAAAATGAGATACTGAATTTTAGAATAATTGTATTCAATCGATGACAATTATTGTTAAAAGTAATGGTATTCTGTTCCAATTCTAACCTCTGTAATACTGATAAAGTTACTGCTTGTTATTAAAAGTAGATCTTAAGGAGTAAATACAACGAAGAAATTATAATAAAAAACATAAAAATGTACGAGCTTTTAATTTAGTTTAAATTAATAAATTCGTATATAAATCTATAGTGACTATACTATTCGTGAGGAAAATGTATCAAAAAAAGACATTTTCATTAATTTTTGGAACTTTATCACATTTCACATTAAAAAATTATCTTGTGCTGTTTTGAGATATGTGTAAAACGAAGACAACAGAAAATACATCATCGATTGAATAGAATAAGATATCTTTAATTCAGAGTTTCAGATTTCAAATAAATTGATTTCGTGATCAATTGGACACTTGGAAAGAAACTGTGATTTGTAAACACAGGACCTATGACCCGTGGATACTCCAAGTGGCGACTTATTATTTATTAAATTGTAAATACTTTTGTATTTTCGTAGTGAACAAACATACAATATATTCGATTTAAATATATATATTTAACTATTTCTTAGGAACTTTTGGAAATACAAGAATAGTATTTAATTTAAAAATGAATATAAAAATGGAAATGAATATTTTCCACCATGAATAGAAGAGATTTCGAAATGACTTATTTTGATAACTTATTCAACATTTTTATTGAGCTATATTTTAGTATCTTTTTAGAAATAAAATTTAAAAGGTCAAATATGCATTTTTTGAATTGTAAGAATGATATGTTTTTAATTTGTAAAAAGTGGTTAATAGTATCAGTAACAATCTGATATATCAAATTGTTTAAGAAAAAAAGAAATATTCGTAAGAAAAATCTTCATTTTTATTGCCATATCAAACATGCCGTTTTATATCAAATAATTTTTAAATATCTCTTTTTATATTTCCAACAGTCAAAGAAACAATTGAATGTATACATTTAAGTCGATCGTACTGTATAGATAGACAAATCTTAATAGTAGGATCTTGATTAACCGTGTATCGTAGAAACTTAAAGTATTTTCACATGGACATTTTTCGTTGATTGAACTCTTGTTCATTTAAATTTTTACGATGTTATATCCAACTAACAATAGATAGAAGGTTATATAAAAAAAAGTACTGTGTTTGCAACCGTATTGATTTAAATAAATTTTTATTCTATTTGAATATTATGTTAGGGATACTTATCTTATTTAATGGAAGTAATTTGAAGTTAACAAATTTCGCTCATTTAAAGAGAAATTAAACAATCAATCAACAGAAAAAGTCAATGGTTCAAACAAATAATCGTGAATTCGGATAAGCAAGATTCTACCACTGCAAATATTTAAATAGATAGAGAGAGAGATTATATATATAAATATGCGTGTGTATGAAAGAGAGAATGTAGAAAATTGACAGAATGTTTGCATGCGTATAAATGATTATGAAAGAGAGAAGAGGAGAGAGGGAGAAGATGAAAAAAAGTGAGAATATATATAGCACCGATGTTCGGCGCGGCTCAATCAAACGAAAAATAAATATTTTCTATATAACGTCTTTCTTCATAAGCAGAATTACAGCCTTTCATTCCGCTTGGCTCCCGGAATTGTCTTTACGTTTTTCCTAGAAAATATCGAACTTTAAATATGTAAATTTAACAGTTTACATATATAAAATTGTTTTTAAAAGATTTTGTCTGGGAGTCTTCGTTGAAAAATCAAGATAAATTAATTATTGTTGGTTAATTCTACTTATCATTATTTATATGAATGATTCAAAGAATTTTTTGAGTTTATTAATTTTTGTTTATATCTCAACGATATCATTTAATTACGTTATAGGGAAATGTTTCAGAGGAAAGTCACACTAAGCCAGTTGTGAGCCAAATCGTAGTGTTTGGAAATTTAAAATTATTTCTAATAATCTATAATATTAATATAGCCCTTCTTTTTGAAGGGATATAATTGTTTTTTACAAAGCACCTTAGGTAATTGTTAATTGCTGTAGGTAAAATATGTGAAAAGAAGACGTTTTTTTCTTTTCTTTTATAAAGAACAGTGATTTGAAAACGGTGAATGATTATTATGTAATATCAAGCATAATTCTAATGATTATTTAAATTTATATTTTTTTTTAATTTGTACTAAAAAAAATTTTTTTTATATAACATCAACTATTAAAAATCGTTAAATAATTTTAAATTAATTTTAAGTCCGTTTTAACTAACGTATTACTCTGTTTAGTTCTTTTACTGTGCAATTTTTATCTGAAAAATTTTTCCTCCGAATATCGAATAATGTATTAAAGAAACTTTATTTAAACCGGATGTACTCTGTAATTGGAGCCATCGTTTGCTTGACAGGAAATAAAGAAACTTGTGAAACAATAAAAGAGAAAATAAACATTTGGGACGATATTCGGAATGGAATGAAATCTTTTCAGAGCAGCTTTGGATACTTGTTCAGTGCTCATACTCGTGTGTTCACATGCGTGAGTCTCTCTCTCTGTCGCCACACGACGATGGAACACCAGCCACCAGGTCGCTTGCGCTCAAACTGAGCGACAAGTGCAAGGTACTGTTGTGTTTTATAACTCATTATATTTATATACATACATACATGCATACATACATATATATATATATATATATACACATATATAAATAAATAAATATACATATATTTGTTTATATTTATATTTATTTATTTGTACATATAGGATGATAGATTTCTTTCTGGACGAACTTATACAGATGAATGAGACATATTTATCTATGATATGAATAACTTGGTAATTCGAAGCGAAAAAATTCACTTTAAGATAACATTAAGTAAATTTTATATGTTAATTTCTCAAATCTTATTTGTAATAATCATTTGAATTTTTGCAAGAGGCATTGGACTTGATTTGTTTTCAAATGAATTTTTATCGAATATATGTTGAAGATTTAAATTAGTATGTATCATCAATGTCATTTTTAATTCATTTTATAAGTAAACATAATGTTACCAATATGATTAATGTGATATGATAGTTGAATCATACGTATTGTTGTAATAGTTAGAAAAAAAGGATGTGTAGTTTTGATAAATAATTAATGTGCAATAATGATAAATAGTATTGATACCATATGAGTAAAATATTATTAAACGAAAGTTTACTATTGAATAAAGAGCAAGATTTTGTATTTTACGATTTTGGATTACGCTTTAAGATTAATTAGGAGTGACTGAAAAGTGTAATGTAGATTGTATTTAATATTGTAAATTTCTATCTGAAATTATCTGTGCTAAATTTTGTTTAATTACTGATTGACTTTCTGTTCATATTGAAGTATAAGTAGGTGATAAATTAACTATTATAAAATCATCAAGCCATTTAAGAATTATAACTCAGGAGTTTAAGTTCGTCCAGCATGAAGTACTTTTTTTTTCTAACGGATCACCGTATTATAAACTTCTTAGAGTAAAAATATTGAAACAAGAAACGAGTAGGTATCGAAATTTAGAATAGCATAAAGAGCCCGTGCACCACTCCGGAACAGAGTTTAAAGAAAAGTTTTCTATCTGTTTCTTTTTCGCAAGCTGAAAATTTGATCTATAATGATTGAAAGATCGCGATTAATTTGTTTACATGAACAAATAGTTGGTCAGTTATGTAAATATCTATTTGCGTATTTATATGCATTAGTAATTACTAATAATACGATTAAACAGAATAAGTATTATAAATGCATAGATCATTGTAAAGTCTATTTTTAATGTTCTTCACAATAGAAGCATTGTCATTTGTAATATTTCAATTGAACATAAACTAATTTATGCACGATTAGCATTTTGTACAAGATATATAATTTTTGTTTGGTTTATAAGTAATTTCTTTCTTTTCATTCTTTTTTTAAATCAAATATAATGCATTTTGTAACTTGTTATCGACGTCGATTCGATCAATGAGAAAAAGTTTTGGCATGCACATGCGCGAAGGTTCGTGGTCAATATCAGGTTTAGAGTTCTTGTATACCTGCATGCTGTAACCTCGAATTTTCATGTGTTCATGCACAAAGCATCTGCAAGATATCAAATATTTATAAGCGGTCCAATGTAGAAGATACTTTGTAAGATTTGGTATAATTGAAGGGTGGCAAATTTTCAATATAAAGCGAACAATTATTGATGTTTTTTTATCACTACTAATTATACCATTATTAGAGTTTTATACTAACAATTTACATTATTACATAGTAATTATAATTACTATTATTGAAATTATAATTTCATCATACTACAGGCATAATTTCCTACTGAATTGCTGCTTATAAATGAAAGTAAAAGTTTCATAAGTATCTTTGCTAGGATGTACTGCAAGAGAGTAATACTAGAAAGTACATAATACAAGCTTTCTGCAATTAATTTAGATTATACATCATTAAAACCTTATTTTACTAAAATTTTCCGCTCATTTAATTCTATTTTGATTGACAAATGTACAGCATCAGAAACTATCGGAAATTACAAATTTTTATTTACTAATCTTAATTTTAATCTGTTAAATGTGAAAAAATTGATAACTGAAATAAATAATTTAAATTTGGTGATCTTCTCAATTTTTTACAAATAAAAAAAATTAATTAATTGAATTAATTTTTTAATTTAATTGAATGATTAATTTATAAATTAAATATTTGCAAATGTGTATTGCTATTTGTCTAACGGATATAGGCCCAATCTTTATTCCAAATTATTAACGTAATAAATTACATTTTCGCAATACATAATTCGAACTAAATATATTTTCATATTTGTTTCAGGCACAATAAATCTTGGAATAAGAAACGGATCTATCACGTGGTTTTTCCTCAATGTATTTATTGTAAACATGAGCATTTTAATAAAATTGAGATATGAATGTAGGTTGCAATATAAGGATATCATATAATATTTAAGATAATTCATGTTAATTATTTTTACCATTTGGTTATGTGTTTCATTTTCTAATTCGTATACAAGTATTTTATAACGGCAAACAAATATTTCTTTCGCATATAATTGATATATTAGCTAGAATTACAAAATATTGCATTGTTTTTTCATCAAAACTAGATAAGACAAATAAACAATAACAAAAATTTCTTACTATGTTTCACTCTAATTCTCTTGTTTAAATTTCATATAGAAAAGTTTTTAATTTTCGTGTACATAAAATACTATAATAAATATTACTTTAAAAATTGTACTAAAAGCGCGGAATATTAAGTTTACAATGAATGTTAATGTAAAAAAGAGCATTCTACATAATTGAAATATCGAGAAATATATATTAAGAATTTAATAAAAGTTTAATACCATTTATACATGTATTATTTTGCTGCTATAAAATTATATGTTAGAAGGGAATGTATGTATATATAATAATGTTCCATAAATGCCTTAAAGTTTAAATATAGAGTAATAAATAACAAAAGTTAATGGAAATTCTATATATAAAATGTAACATCACTTTGTGTATATGGTATATACTTATCTAAATATATATCTTGACCTTATAATTCAAATTACACGCAACCTAAAAAAATAATTGTTCTATATAAATATTATTTATATATCTAAAACTGATGATAATATGTTCATTCTGATGAATAGCACTGTGCTTTTTATTTTATAAGGTATAAAATACTTTATAATATTTAGTATTATTACAAAAAACATGACAATATTATATTAAAATGTATCGTTGTCTAAAAAAAAAAGAAAAAAAAAACAAAACAAAACAAAACAATGCAAGATACTTGTATTGTATGCTTACGTAAAATCGAAAAAAGAACATGAAAATTCAATTTTATACACTGCTTTAAATGAATGCTATCTATAATCATAGTAATTATTTCCTAATATATTACAAATACTTTATGACATTATTTTAAAAATTAAATTATATTAAGAGTTTCTGTTAATAATTATTTTTTATTTAAATCAAATCTATAAATATAATTGCTTACGATTCATTGAAGCACATTTTCATTCGTCAATTATATAATTGATTTTAAAGTTTTAATATCATTCTTTATATAATGATAAAGTTTTAATTATTTTAATCTGATTTGTAACTTTAAAATACATATATGTGGTGATTATAAAATATTAATTACATCATGAACGTGTGATAAATCAAATTAATTCTGTTATTTTTAGCACATTTTTTTTATAAATCGTGTGTATGGCTATTATTTAATTGTACCCTTAAACTATAAGTTATATCAATTGCAAATTATAAAACCATTGTTTAATTACTATCCAATGTAACTGTTTTACATGGCTCTTAACCATGCATGCATTAAATTGATATACACAGTGTTAAAATAATATACATGATGCACATGATGTATTAAAAAGTGTTATAGTTAATCTTCTTTATCAATAGCTTCAATTCTTTCAAGGACTTGAGGATGACTATGATGCCAACTAGAATACAATTTATCATAAAGAGGAAAACCAAGATTGTCCTCCTGTAGCTTAATTAAAGAGCTTTTTAATGTTTGTCCATGTCCCAAAATTTTTGCAAACTTATCTGCTTCAAATTCAAATCTTCGTCTAAGTATATTTGTTATGTATTGGACTAACTGTAAAAATTGTAAAATAATTTATAAATATTATAAATATTACTTTAAATAACATTGTTCAACATAAATAAAATATACATAAATTACATCTTGAAAGCAAAACAATTTAAAATTATTTTGAAATATTTGTGAGATATTTTATAAGATTTCATTCTTTATGAATATTAAAAGAGTTATGTCATATTGTTTTATATATATATATATATATAGCAAACGTACAATATTTTACGCATGCAAAGATTTTTCAAATTTTTCTAAATCAAAAGTAATACATTAAACTTACTATATTTAGGGGATTTGAAATATAGATAGTAATAATTATGAATCCTATAAACGTGGGTTGACTATCCATAAACCCAAAAGCTTCAAATATAGGTTTATAATCAAGAAGTTTTGCATATAGGTAAATATTCATCAACAGCTGTACCTGCAAAAATTTGTTTTTATACATTAGTAAATAAGATGTAATATTGTAAATATGTTGCCTAAAAATTTACCTGGCCAAGTATAAATCCCTTTAATGTATGACTATATTTCCAATGTCCTAATTCGTGTGCCAATACTGCTACTACTTCATCTGTAGTACATCCTTTTGTGTTTGTTTCACCTTCCGCTGGTTTATAATACTCCTTGACTAAAGTGTCATAGAGAACAATTCTTTTATGTTTGTGAAAACCATACAGATATGCATTGCTGTGTGATGATCTTTTTGAATTTTCAACAATAAATATTTTATAAAGTGGATAGTTTATCGATGCTGCTAACTCTTCAATCTTTCTTTTCAAATCTCCATTTGGAAGAGGTGTGTATTTATCAAAAAGTGGTGCAATTAGTTCCGGGTAAATAATCATAAGGAAAAGAGCAGCAACTATTAAAAATATCCAAAGATAAAGGAAACAGTACCCTCCACCATTTTTTATGATCCATGTTACAGCACATAGGAAGGGTACCGCAAGTGTCTCACATACAACAAATCGAAGAAGCTGATCTTTGACAAAGAATAATGGTGTCTAAAATTAACAGTATTAAATTAAGAATTTAAAAATTACTTTTATCATATTATTAGAAAAATGATTACTTTCTTACTTCTTTATTAAAGCCATGTTTTTGTTCCACAACAAACGTAGAATAAATCTTAAATGGCAAAATTATTATATCATAGATAACGTTTATAATGAACATACAAACGCCACTTAAGAGAATTTCATTTTGATCATCAAAGCCACAATATTTGACAATATCAATACTCCATAGCCAAAATCGATAGTAGCATAAATTTAACAAATACACCTATAAATATTCAAATGCTTACATATTATAAGAACTATATGATTTCATTTTAAATATTACGACATAACATAATATATACATGTATAAATAAAAATTTCATACCATAGTACAAAGTTCAGAAAATATACTCTCAAAATCATTAAATTTTAACCGATCTAGCAAATAACTGTGTGCTTTCTTATAAACATCCTTTGTCATTAAACCTTCAACTGATTTAGGTAAATCAGTCAATCTCATCATCAAATCCCTCTATAAAAAAGAGAACTTATATTGCTTCACGTATAACACAGAGTTATTTTTATAAATCTAATTTTATTAATAATAATCATTTTCTAAAAAAGAAATATAATTTCTTTAAATATTATGTAATTTACAAAAATTAGGAAATTGTTATAATAGAAAGGCGAATCTATGTTATAATTAATTATTATAATGAAAAAGAAATCATGTTTTAAAGTAAAATTAGAAATTAATAAGATGAGGAAACTTAACTTTAATGAATTAGGTTAATAATGGTTAGGTAAAATTTACAACAATTTACCTGACGAAGATTTAAATAATATTTCCAAAGAAGTAAAAGCCATGATACGGCTAAAATTTCATAAAGTATGTTTTCTTCGATAAATTTTACAAAATTCGACATTCTTTTGTATTTAATAAATAAAAATTCTTCTTTCTGTATTCTACCTTGGTCGCCGGTTTACTACAATAAAGTTAGGGATACTGAGGTTACCGCAACAACATATACTACAATCTCTGTTTTGAACATCGAAACGAAATGATGCTGTAATTAAATTTTCATCAACGTGTCCTATGTTTGCTATTATCTTATGATATTAATATTAATATCACAAATTTTTCGATATTGGATATATATATATATTTTTTTTTAATATTATGAATTTTACTTTTTGAATTGAATGAATTAAATTGAAAATAATAAATATAGAACTTTTAGTAACTAACTACATTTTAAGAGTATTACTGTAAAAAAATCAGTTTGAAAACATAACAGTTTGAAGTCCTACGATAAATAATAATATCAGGTAATACATATACAATTATCAATAAAAACTCTGTCTTTCCGTATTAAGTATTTTTGTATAAGTAGAGAGGTTATGAACTTTGTACAGTGAACGACATGATGAACGTAATAAACATATTATCGTAAAGTATGGCGCCGGAAAGAACAAATGGGATTAATGGAAATCACTTAAAAAATGTACCTAACATCATAAACAGGTACTGGATTTATGTAAAAATTAATTTAAGATAATATTTATAATCTTATATCTAATAATCGGTGACAAATTATCAAACAATTTAAGACATGTTGATAAGATTTAAGTGATATCTTATTTAAAAAAAGCAATCAATGTCATTTTTTGCTTCAAATCGTGGAACATTCATAAAATAGTAATTCTATTCATATTTTTGAAATTTTATTCTAATATGCAATTTAATATAATATAGTTAATAGTATTTAAACAATAATAAGTTTCTTCTCTATTTAAGGGATAATGCTGTTACTTTTAAATAAAATGGTTTTATTGTAGTGTACCAAATGCGCCATCACCATTTCCTCCTTCAAATCTTCAACCAGGAAATCCTCCACCAGTACCTCCGCGTCAACCAGTCCAAAATTATTCTGGATTTCATCATAGACCATTCGGATCTAATTATTATGGAGGATACGGATTTGGTGGATATGGTAATCAATATAGGGGATTTAATGGATATGGAGGATATAGTTCATATGGTCCATACTCCAATTATAATAATTATGGAATGTTTGGTGGACACAGTGGTGATGCCGAAAATAGGTAAGAAGCTTATAACATGTCATATTTATTTCATATGTTATATCATATTTAATCTTTTCAATTCGTTTTCATTTTGTTTGGGATGATAAAAGATTTTGTGACTCGATTCCTAACGATAAAAAATATATAGAATTCTCAATGTTTTTATATGTAATTTACAATCTTTAAATGTGATAAACAATTTCCAAAATTATTGAATATAGAAATGAACTATTAATATAAAATATAGATATGAACTATTGATATAGAATATAGATATAAAAGAAATATGAAAATTAATTAAATAGTTAACTGAATTTCGATGGAAATAATGAAATAAGTTAGTAATAGTTGTTTGAACTTGTGTGCAGATTTTCCCAATATGTTGAGGACAATACCAGGTCAACTTTTCAGTTGATCGAGACAGTTCTTCATACATTTTCATCTATGACAATGCTATTGGAATCCACATATTTTGCTTTAACAAATTCATTCAGAGCAATTTTAAATGTTGCAGAAAATGTTGGGAAATTACGCTCCACTGTAAATCAGTTACTTAGTACTTTTGCTTTAATTAGATTTTTTAAATGGTTGTACAGGAAGATTGTACACTCTACTGGTAAAGTTTTCTATTATATTTTACAGTTTATATGATATGTAGTTCTAATTTATAATTTAGTTTATTAAATATTCTTTTAGGTTATCAAAATCAAGATTCAATAAACGAAGAGTTATGGGATAAATCACTAGCAAAAGTTGGAAGTGTAAATGTTCATAATTCTTCTTACTGGTCTGGGTTTTTAATATTCAGTGTATTCTTTGTAGTACCTTATATAATTCATAAAATTTCGAATAATATTAAAAACATGCAAATAAAAGGTATTAGTTATTTAAAGATTATGTGTTATGAATTTTTTACATATAAAATAAGGTAACTAAATAAGAATTTAATCTTTAGGAAAAGATCCAAAAGAATGGCAAGCTATTGAGGAACCCGCATATATTGCAACAGTGTTATATGACTTTGTTGCCACTCACAATGATGAACTCAGTATAAAAGCTGGTCAAAAAGTCTATCTTGCACCCAAGTCTCTACAACCAAAAAATATGCCCGGGTGGTGCAAAGCTACCGATAATGTAAATGTTGGTCTTATTCCTTACAATTATATTAAAGTTATAGGACAATTGAAAAAAGTGAAAAGGGATAATGAAACAAACCCTGTAAATGAAGAAATATCTTCTACAAATGAAAGTTCTAATCATAGCAATAGAAAGGATTCACAGCCTATAAGAAATGATAAAACTGTTGAAAATGAAGCATAGGGAAGTTGGTTTTAAATGATTTTATTAAATGTTTTATAACTTTCAACAATACACTAGAATTTATATCCAATAAATTTTGAAACTTTTCTACATTTCATTTTTATTATAATTTAGATTCGAGACAAGAGAAATTTGTTTTGGATCAAATTATATGAAATATAAATTTATACCACTAACATATGGAACTAAAAATATGGAAATAATGGTTTCTGATGAATATAACTAACAATTTAAGTTACAAAATAATTATATTTTAAGAAATTAAGATTTTATTTAAATTAAAATGGGAAATATTTAAAATTTATGTATTATAAGATCAAACTTTTTAAGTTTTTTCTTTTCATGTGTGTACTAAGTGGAATTACTAGCATATGATGTATAAGTCTATATAGTATTTGTATTTATACTGCAATTTATGATAATGAAAGTTTTGATAATCAAACTGTTTTATCAGTAAATTCATATAAAATTTATTTTAATTTTTGTTTATAAAGTAAATTGGATACTTAAACAAATATTGTTCTATTTGTTACGTTTAAAAAATTAAATATTATGAAACAATACAGTTGTTTATTCTTACAATATGCATGTAAGGCTATATAGAAAATCTTAATCTGCAAAAAATCTCTTTCGTTGTATAAGAAACTTCTAAGAAAAAATAAATACTTATATGTCGTTTTAAAGGATTTTCCTGTTTTAAATAATAATCGTACTTACCATGGCAGATAAAAATTACGAAATTACAATTAAAAGTAACTTAATTAAAGTAAAAGAAAGGAAATTGATTTTTAAGGATCACTTTTAAGGAATTTACAATCGCTTTCACATAAAATACTTTATAGATATATATGTATATTGAATATGTGTGCAATAATAGTTTGGACACACACACATATATATATGTGTATATATGTATATTTATATAATTTACAATTTCACTTTCTCTCTCTTTTCAACAATATTAACAACAGATTCTACGATCTACACAACAGATTCTTAGTTGTTTTAGCATTCTAAAGAAGGGAATGTTTTGTTAGAAAGGAAAATAGTATGAAAAGAAGAGAAAAAGAAAATGTGAGAGGAATTTTTTAATCATCGAACTTGCGATTAGGATTGGATCCAAATAGGGCAGAACGTATATCTGGTACTAATTGTTGTGCTATTAATTCTAATCTCGTTTCCAAAGTGTTGCTGACTTTTATACGCCCTAAAAACAGAATGATATGAATCATTTAATTTCGTTAAAAAAACTTAGAAGATTGAAATAAATGATAAATCTTGTTTTTGTTAAAAATATAAGAATATAGTGCAATAATTTATTAAAAAGTATGCATTATCTACTAACCTCTTGCTGCAAGTAAATCAACTCCACCACAACTATCAGAAGGAAGGAAGTTATCCTGATCAATTTTAACTGTAACATCTTTTTTTGTTATTTGTTTATAAGCATCTTGAACAGAATCAAAAAGTGATTCTACTAGGGGAACGTCTACTTGACGTACTCGAACAACAACATGGCTTTCTGTTAACTAAAAATTACAGATACATAAAGATAAATTGATTAAACGTCTATACCCTTTTTCTATAAAGAAAAACAATGACCAAAAGTAAAAATAATAACAAATGTTATGAAGAGAAAATTTAAACATCTGTAAAGTTTTGTACCCGACATAATCCTTGCACAATCAATAATTTCAGAAGTTCCCTATATTGTGAACTATCCTGCATCACTTCTCCTAATCTCTTCCTAGCTTCATCAAGTACGTCACGAACATGATCTTCTCTAATTTTGAGGACTTTTAGACGGGCTTGATTCAACATGTTGGATGATTGACTATAAAATAACAGAAATTGAATTATTTAAATAAAGCCTATTTACTAGAAAAAATTTCTCTTAATAGTAATATATTATAAAAACATTTGTATATAATATTTAAAATTATTTTTATAATATCAAACGTACATCTTTTTTTGAAGTTCCACTTGTTTTTCTTTCTTTTCATAATATTCCATAATTTTAAGCCTTTGCTGTTGAACTAAGCGTCCCTTTTCAATATTAAATTCTTCTTCTGCTTTAGCATCAATTTCTTCTGCTTTCTCATTGGCCTCTTGTTCAATGAAGGCCATCATATGATTAATCTAAAATAATAATAATTATAAAAATATACATTTTTTATTTTTAATTAAAAAAGTATAGAATTAAATTCGTTCAACTTTTCTATACATTTTCTTTTACTTTTTACAAAAATATAAATTTATAAGTATGTGTGTGTATGTGTGTGGAGAAATTTGTAGAATTGCAGATAAAAATGCTTTTCAATGGTCAAGAAGGACAAAACAGTCATATGTATTCTAGTGATCCTTTAGATTGGCCATTAATGTCTAGAGGAATTGCATATTGGGTTTCTAATGACAGTAATGTAAATATGTATTGAAATATGTTTTTCTAAACAAATTATCCGATTTTATTACAATTCAATAATATTCATTATCACTTATTAATATTAATGTAGTTATATATGTATATATATGTGTATATATATGTGTATATATATGTGTGTGTATATATATACATATATATATATATATATATATATATATATATATATATATATATATATATATATATATATATATATATATATATATATATATATATATATATATATATATATATATATATATATATATATATATATATATATATATATATATATATATATATATATATATATATATATATATATATATATATATATATATATATATATATATATATATATATATATATATATATATATATATATATATATATATATATATATATATATATATATATATATATATATATATATATATATATATATATATATATATATATATATATATATATATATATATATATATATATATATATATATATATATATATATATATATATATATATATATATATATATATATATATATATATATATATATATATATATATATATATATATATATATATATATATATATATATATATATATATATATATATATATATATATATATATATATATATATACATATAAAATTTTATTAACAGAATTTGAATTAAAACCCAAACATATTTCCAGATGAAAGAATAATAATATTTTAATATTTCAGAAATAATAATATTTTTAACTTTGATACAATCCAATTAAATAATCAATGGTTGTATTATACTTTTTAATTTTTTGTTTCTAAAAAGTAAATTAATGACATTGTTAAAACTTTGATTTAAGCAAAATTACTACTCAAGTTATTATTATTTATGTAAACATAATTGAAGTTACTTAATATTTAAGAAGAATATTTAATTCAATCAAATTTATTATTTACACTGAATTGTAGATGTTTAAAACATTATTGAAAAAAAGAACGATAAGAACAAAATTTTGTCAAAAGAAAGTGCCAGGAACAAATATTTCATCCAAGCAACAATATAGAATAAAATGCAAAAATAGCTTAAAATCGATGCTCCAAATACTTCAAATTGTAAATACTTCAATTGAAATACTTTTTACCTGCTTCTGTACATCTCCATCGCTTAATGCCATTTTGAAGTTTAAGGATCCGTCGATTTTACAATAGTAACGACTTTCTTAATTACTACTTTACTTCTTTGATGAACAAATTCTAAGTCGAAGTTTTCGAGAAGTCAACGCCTACTGATGAAAGTATCTTCAGTTAATGACGATCATATGACACAGGTAGTGTGTTCATAAAACTAACTTATTTAGCCGAAATATATATCACGGTATGTGTTCTCAAAACTAATCAAGATTTACTATACTTTGCAAATTTTAATTTAAAAGAATGTATGTATGAAATAATTGTCTCTATAAAGTTATTGCTTTTAATGTAATATAAAAATACATGCATAAATTATATGCATATAAATATTGTGTATAAATATTTTAGAATAATATCTTTTTTATCGAATAAATATGTAAAGCTAGTAAAAAAATTGATTTTGTTTTTTGTGACTATATTTAATTAATGAAAATTACTACTATTATATCTTAATTAATGAAAAGTTATTGATGAATTATTAATTATTGAAAAATGTTGCATTGTGTAGTTTCAATAATTTTTGGTTAAGCGGTATCAGAAGCGGCATATTTAATAATACCACTAATTTTTCATTTTTCTGTTATAACGTAATATACAAAATTTCTTAGAAAACACAAGTTTCTAAAACCAACATATACATTTAAAAAAATCCTACTTTATATTGTGACATTTCAGTATATTTGAAAAGTTGAATTAACTAGCCCGTCTTCAGCGTGCATGTCGGTGGTTACGTTTCGTACTTTTATAAGAAAACATCATTCTTAATTGAAATTTTACATACTCTTACAATTTAACAGTATAATTCACTGTCAAAGGTGACATACACCGTAATAATTGTCAAACGAGTAAACTGTCAAATAAATTTCAAGAAGGTAATGTTTCATTGGCTCTAACCTAATAATATACATGCTGCTTTTCGTTATCTGATTTTCAAAAAACATTAACAAATTGTTTTTATCGATATTCTAATCTCTTGTATTTACAAGTATGTTCAATAATTAATGTGCTATTAATCTTCTTCACGTTTCTTTCCTAAACCTTGATCTTTGTTTATTGTATATTCGACTTTAAGGTTAAGTTATTAGTTTTTAAATTTAATGAACAATTATTTAAAAAACTGAGATGTTAAATAAACATTAGAGTCAAATTAGTTAGATAATTGATTACTTATTAAAAACTTCTAGAAATTATGCTTTTTTTTTAAATTGTCAAAGTATATAGAAATTGGTTAATTACATTTTGTTGTGTAATATGCAATTGTTTAAACATATTATTTTATTTTTATTTAAATTGATATTTTACTTCTATTAATCTTAACTTGTTTTAGTCTTAATTTATGAAAGGAGTAATTGTTAAATGTGCATAGTAAAATAATTGGTAATTGAAATTAATAGATGAAAAGATTTTTGCTTTGGATTATTCGAGTTTCAGTGTTATTTGGTTATTTTATTACGAATGTGTTGGATATTATAGAATTAATGTATTATTAAA